AGCCTTTCCCACATTGGAGTTCTTAATTCTGCTGTTAATCATTTGAGATTTTGAATCTAAGCTTTTATGCGTTTGGGTATTGGTCTCTTGAATCTAAGCTTTTCTTTTTTTTCATTTGGGTCCTTGACTCTGCTATTACGTTTTGAGATTTTGGATCTGAGCTTTTATACACTTGATTCCTTGGATCTAAGTTTTTCTTTTATTTGAGTTCTTGACTCTGCTATTAAACATTGTGAGGTTTTGGATCTGAGCTTTTATACACTTGATTTCATGGATCTAAGTTTTTCTTTTATTTGAGTTCTTGACTCTGCTATTAAACATTGTGCGGTTTTGGATCTGAGCTTTTATACACTTGGGTTCTTAACCTGTGCTGGGGTGTGCTTCTATGGTTTTACAAAGGCATATTCACTATGTGTTTTTCTCTCCACAATGCATTTGGTGTGTGTTCCTATGGTTTTACAAAGGCGTTTTCACTATGTGTTTTATACTTTTCTCTTTACAATACATTTGGTGTGTGTTTCTGTGGTTTTACATAGGCATATTCACTATGTGTTTTATACTTTTCTCTTTACAATACATTTGGTGTGTGTTTCTGTGGTTTTACATAGGCATATTCACTATGTGTTTTGTACTTTCCTCTTTACAATGCATTTGGTGTGTGTTTCTAAGGTTTTACATAGGCATATTCACTATGTGTTTTATACTTTTCTCTTTACAATGCATTTGGTGTGTGTGTCTATGGTTTTACAGAGGCATATTCACTGTGTGTTTTATACTTTTCTCTTTACAATGCATTTGGTGTTGGAGGAGGCTGCTCGTCTTTTAATTAACCCCCAAACGGACGTGCACGGACAGTTCGGACTGGCGGGTTACTGGCTGTGAGTAGCTGTCTTAGGCGGACGGACTTGTGTTTCGTAAGGAAGCGAAATCGCTTCCTTACAATATAAATCTAAGATTGGTTTGCAATTTATGGCAAAACATTGCACACTCCTTTTAGATAAGTGTGTTAGTGTATAAATATATTGTTTTAAGTAAAAATAAAACAATATAGATTAAAATTTGTGTAAGTATTCGTGACTGTTTTTTATTTTGTTTGTTAAAATTGGATAGAACTGGACGTCATTTTATTTCGTCCGAAATTTTACATAATTTTGTTTTTATCTATATTTGCATGATTTTGTTATTCATTGCATCACTGTAAACAAACAGACGTTAAATTTGCCCCCTATTTTTCCATTATTTTTTCCAAGTAAATTTCGAACGGTGATGTCAATACATACTCGCAAACAAACGGTTCTTCGCTTTTAAAATGAGTACTAGTTACTTAAAGGATGAATAATCAGTGCCCTTATAAGGCACAGCACAAATAGAAAGGAGAAAAGAGAAAAAGAAAATAAAAAAGGAAAACAAGATAACGAGCACAACCATCTACGATTCAAAATTTATGTAGGTAACTATCAAAAAGTTAAATTTAAAGAATCCTTTTAAGGTGGGATAAAAATGATTTCGAGATTAGCATAAAAGTTAATAAAGTAAACTTTCTGAGAAAATCTAATGTAGTTGCACAAAAACTTTCTATTCGCTCTTAATAGAGTTGCCAAGAGAGTTGAATTTTTTACATCCAAATTAACGGGGCAGGAAAATGGCCATTGTATAAATATTTAACAGATAAATGACTTATGACATGAAATTTTTGTTCTTTAGAATTATATTCTCTTAATTTAGTAATGAGATCAAAATAGGCTTGCGTCACTTCTTACTTTTTTTATTAGCTCTTCGGACTCTACTAGCATTTATGTTTTTGGTGTTAAATTCGCATGGTAGGTTTAGTGTTAAGAAAGAAAATGAGCTAGATCAGATAAAGATAAGACTAAGGCCACTGTAAATTTTCCCGAATTCTTTCTAATTGTCCATGTAAGAAGCAATCCCTGTTCAGTTCTAAACCAAAACTTTCTAAACATTGGATGAGCTTTCTTAATGGTTATTGTTAACACCATCCCATTTGGGAATTGAAATCTCGTAAACTGAAATGACATATAATGGTGTGCCCTTGGCAGGTATATATTGCCAAACATAATAATGAGCACGTTAACTTTCACTTGCAGTACGTGGTGAATGGATTAGATTTCACGTCATCTGCTTCCATAACGTTATGAACGGACTTGCTTTTGGTTGCTTCGCTTCGAATGTTATACTGAGCAGTGTTGTCTACTTCGTAAATGTTTTTGTTCTTAGCTCAAGAATAGCTGGTTTGCTCAGCTAATTGATATTTTTATGATTAGTTCGAATACTGGAAAATAATTTTACAATTTCTAGCAACTGTTGTGGCAGTATACCTATGATTAAATTTAACGTCTTTATGTGTTGCCCCGCTTGTCGGTTGATGTCAATCCAGGATTTATAGGCGTTTCCCTAAGATCTCCTGCAAGCAATATTAATGCGTTTCAAAATTGCCTGATGTGTCCATGCAAATTTTGCGATGGTCGATTATGAGCCTCGAGCAATCTTTGTGCGCCTCTGCCTATTTATCTCAAAGGATAAGTTTGTGTTTCTGCAATCCTCTTCCCACGCCGGATGCTTTGTCAGTGTTACACATCCAAAAAATTGGTTGTGCAATGGCAACTTCGAAGCAGAAGGAGTGCTGCTGATTCTGGTAACCGCGCCATTGTCACCACCAACGAACGGTGCAAGTGGTAAGTCCTTGTTACTTTGAAATGGAATTACTGCGAAAATCAAAGTAAATAGGAACGTTTTACTTACCTGTTGACGGTTTATATTATTTAATCGTAAAAGCGATAATACGCAGGATCAGTGACTTCTAAGCACAAGTCCTCAATCATTCGCCTAGTTACCAATCTCTGCTGTGTAATGTATGTCCGAATTTGAATGTGCCTACATATTCGGTGGAAAATATCATCAGCCATTTGCTGTTTATATATCGTTGGTTGAGAGGAAAAATTCGTGATTTCGTAGATAATCATAAAAAGTAGGTGCCTTTACGTAACTAAAGCGTATATTTTAGTCTAAAATGCAATAGCTTTTAAGGAACTACAGAAAAGTACTTAGTAAATTTTTTCTTCCTGTAGTAATAAACGTAAGAAGATATGAAGTAGTCCCATCACATGAGTTTACTTTAGCAACGCATGCAAGATATGTGATTTTGCATTGCTTGCCTCGTAAAGCGCGTAAAGTAATTATTGTGGCAGTGCGTTAAACCTTCGCAGATGATTGCCACTTTTTAATACCAAGCAGCTAAAATTACAGAAACACTCACAAAAACATACATCCCAGAGAGAGATATATTTATAATACAATTATGTATTTTTAGTTAAGTAGCTTTTATTTGAAAGGCATTATTCAGAACCATTTGTGTAAGAATAGGCATGGCTTTCGTCATTTGAAATTTATTTCGAAAAAATAATGGAAAAATAAAGAGCAAATTTGACGTTTGTTTATTTACAATGACAGAATCTATAACATAATCATACTTCATTCGTAAATAAAAAGGAAATTATGTAAAACTTTGATAAAGTTGAATGAAGTGAAATAATTTCATGTAATGCATGTGGTTTCATGTGAATTTCTTAGAAACATTTTGAATTGCGAATTTGAACTTTGAATATATACCACTTTATTTTTATTACATTTTATATGATATAATATATACATTAACATATAAGTTTACCTATAAAATATGCACAATGTTTTCAAATTAATTGCAAATCAGTTATATTATATTGTTATGAAATTCGCTTTTATAAGATACAGTCCGTATCACTAGATCGCAGATATTTTGATCAAGAGAAATATACTTCAAAGTTGTTTTATTTGCAATTATATTTCTTTTAATGTAGGATTATTTACAAATTATTTTTGATAATACTTTCGACTGCTTAACTCAGATATTCTTTTTCTACTCTCCTGTCTTTCACAAATATTCTATTTATATACATTTTTGCCATTATATTACTATTACCTAATTTTATGACTTGATTTTTAACTCATTAACCTGCTTTTGTTGGTAACCATTCATCGGTCTGCAGCTGCATGACCCGCCTGCGAATATGCACTTTGTTTTTACCCGTCTGCTTTTCCGCTAATCGCTTTTATTGGTCTGCAGCTGCATGACGCCTCGCGAATGTACATTTGGTTGTAGAAAATGCCTAGATTTGGGATTTCCGTTACAATATAAATAAAAGACAATATTTCAATTTTCGCAAACGAGTTAACTTGCTGTTCACAAATTTAAAATTTTTAAATAGCCGCGTGTAAGTAAACAACTTTTTTTCAATTTACAGTTGTTTTCTTTTACAAATGCAACTCTAAACAATCAATCCTACCTCAGAACAACCAATAGACACCCAAAGCGTAAGCAATTTTACTTGCCCCTCCTTTGACAATTTTGAGAGAACATTTCTCGCACCTCTTGTGTACGCATATAGCTAAAAATGTCGAAATTCGCAAATGAAACTTAGTTAACACCACACATAATCAGTGCCCTGTTTTTTTATAGTTGGATAAAGAAAAGTACATTTAATTCAGAATCCTTTAATTCACCTTTATTAAATAATCACATATGTGCAAGGAATGGAATATTAGGAAAGCCATGCAATTCTTATGAAATAACCCAAAAATAATTGGTTGTAGGTTAGCTGTATTCCGCTAAATGAATAACTTTTGTAATCAAAGGAAAACCATATATGTAAGTAAATAACTGGAATTTATGAAATACAATTGTACAAAATAAGAATTGTTACATTCTCCTTTTGTAACATTTTTAATAGACGCTATAACGAAACATGCTTTTGCTTGTTTCGGTTTCGTTTAGTTTCACCTACAAGAAAAACTTGTTGGGCATGTCTGAGAATTTCGTTTGTTATATATGAAATTCAGACATCTTAGAAATTGTGTTTTTTGTGCGAACAGTGATGGACAAATTTCTTAAGTATTAATATTTTTAGTTGAAAGTGTTGCGAGTGTTGCAATGAAAAGTAAAATGTCGTTATTCTTACACTTTTACCGCCATTACGTATATTTCAAAACGTTCAGGATCATCAAAATTTCATATAGATTATGCGCGGTTTAAGCTAACATTGCCGGCATTTGAACTCTGTATGCCATCGGTGCATAGAGGGCTACATAACAATAGTAGTTTTTGAGGTGCGTACACATAAGTGCTCTTTATTCTTGGACTTATTAAAAATCCGAACACACTGATAAACCTTCATGAATGATATGAGCATAAAGAAACCAGGCGTCTTTACGTGGGCGCCATACTCTATCATTTTTTGCCTGGCTTCTTCTTAGATTTACTAACTCGTGTAATGGGCGGCAGACCTATGTAATATTACCTTCCTTTCAAGAATATTGCGTTAATTTTTTAGACATTAATTGATCGTTCACTTGCAGTTTAATACGTTTACATAAGAGCGTCTGGAATTCTTTGAATACTTTAGAGAAATTTATCTTCACCGAATGGCATTACAGCAACAAGCATACAATGGCTTTGGGTAAAAATATTTCAGCGCAAGACCAGGAACGCTTCTTCTTGGATATTGCTGAATTAAATTGGGATGAATACTTCGAAAACACCAAAATGGGCATGTTAATTTTCGTGTGTGAATGAAGTCAGCAATTGTAATTTCGAGATTATGCGAAATATTGTTCTGCAGCAACTTCTTGAAACTTCCAGACAGTTAATAGTTGCCTATCCTTGATGTACTAAGAGCCACCTCAAATTTTTTTAGTTTGTTTTGCCAAACATTCGGCAGTCAGCGGCTGTGCTATTGACATGTATCCGCGGCAGTAGCTTTCATCATTGATTGAAATCAATAATTTCGCTTCCGAGACATTGCGGATATTGTTTTGCGGCGACTGCTTGCACATTCCAGGTACTTTTTTTGTATTATTTACATATTGTTTATTTTAGTATAATAAATAATGGTGTAAATTAATACTAATTGCGCGGAATTGGTAACAAAGTGTATGTAGAATGTAGATATATTAATTAAATGAAATTGAAGGAAATTTACACATAATATTACCAAAATTCATTACAAAAATTTAAAAAGACATAATTCTAAATATTTTATAATGAATAATATACGCAAGTAATTTTCACTTGCGTTAAAAATCGTCTCAGATGATAATGTAATAAGTAACTCGCGTAATTTACGAAATTCCTAATTATCATTTAATGTTTGTATAATTAAGTTGAACGCATTAAGATGTTGAACTTTCATATAATTATAAGCGAATATAATGGTTTGCAATTCATAACTTAGCGGTGGGTTAACAGAGAGCCGTTCGTTTATTGGACCAAGTGGAGATGCAAAATTTATTATATAGATAGGAGGATGTATTACAAGGCTTCGCAGTACCTCGAATGTTAGGTTTTGCATGTGTCTTGTCTCGTCATTGCTTTTCAACTGATAATTAGAAATATGATGTTGTCTTAACAAATTTGAAAGGAAGCAATCATTGGACATCTGAATCTACTCAAAATTCCTACAGCTACACGATAACCGTTTGCAACAGTCACGATTGATATCGATATGCACGGTAAGAAACATCTTGTACAATACGGTACAATATGATCAATTACAAACCACCAGGGATTCATTTATTAATCCCCCCAAAGTCTTAGAATAAGGGTGTGGAGATAAATTCGAATTTAACTAGCAGAGACATCTATCGTATCTGTTAACCAAACTCTGTAAACGCCTTAACAGAGCTCTGTTGAATATTTAAAATTAAATTATAGTTGGGTTTGAAAGCCGCTTTCATCCACACTAAAGTAAACGTAAATATTTTTGTGGACATCTCATGTATAAGCGAAAAATGGGTATGGAAGAATATCCAAATTTGAGACTCTAGCGCGGCCAATCTAGAAAACGTCACCTATATCACGTGAATCTCTATAAAACTAATGAGCAAAAAAATTCAAATCTTTCTTTCAACCACTATTTTTATGGATTTTTTTAAAATTATATACTTAACAAGATAACGTGTGTCGCACCAACATTAACAGAAAAAAACAAATGTGACTTCTTTCTTAACAAATTTAAATTCGTTTTTTTCTGCAAATGACGTACATCTTGTATTATTATATATATACATTCCACGGCGTTGTTATATATAACATAAGAGATATATCTCATTTCTCTCGTCTAAACTTTAAAATTCTATTAGGTCTAAAAACGGCCAAAACTTGTTAGAATCTTATCAAATTTTAGAAAACACATTGTCGTATATTCCAAAAATAAATGGCTTGTCTTTTATATTTGGGATAGGGAAGCTGTCCCAGTCATATTTTTAAATACGTTTTGACTTAAGCAAAGTTCGGCCCCATTTTTCTTCTAACAGTTCTTCTTGCTTAGCCTTTCGTCCGTCGTGCCCTCTAAATATCTACAAGAAATTTCCATCAATTTAGACTCTATGTACTCACATGACTTTCGGATGTAATCGGTTGCCCGAACATATCTTTGGCCTTCAAGGATAACATTTTTGCCCCTGGAAAGATAACCTTCCACCCGACTGTTGTTGTTACGGACGAAGTGTTCCCTTTGCTTACATGGACTCTTATTATATTTGCCCATAGAGGCGCATAAGCCACATATTTTTTTAAAAATAGAGATGCATAATCTTTGTTAAAAAGTTTCTATTCTTTGTGAGAGGTAGACTGTGCTAACATTGCACATAAGTTCTAAGTCCTTTGTATAGAAGGGATTTGTTCAGTTATCGAAATTTCACCTTTCGGACATTCTTTTTCCTCACCGGCTTCAACAGTTGCATCTTCAGTCGAATTTTTTTGCCTTAAGTTCTCAAAGATTGCTTCAATTGTTCCACCCATATTCTTTTGCGTATGGATAGTGAAAACTCCTTTCAACCAAGAATACAATTTTGCCAGTTCTGATATTCGAATGGCTCAAACAATTTGGTTTGTATACAAATCGATCACTTCTTGGTTTCCGAAGAAGTTAGCAACATCTTTTTGGGCCGTTCTGATAATGTGGCTTCAGCACAATTGCACGACAAAAAATTCTAAATTTCCAGCAGGTTGTATCAAAAATTGGTGACATTTGTGCACCATTTGTGTAGGTGGAAATTGATTTCATATCGTTAAAAGCTGAAATGATAGTGGTTATTATGGCTTTGCTCCAATCTGTTACTATGCGTTGGCAAATTGGTCAACGTCGGTGCTGTAGGCAAAATGTTTTCAAAGAGAGAATGGAACGCAATATGCCATCTGAGTAATGGTTGCATAAAAATGCCTCAGCTGTGGGCACCAGAACGCCGACATTTTCTTTGTCGTCCCTCACATGCAGGGTTCAACTATATAAAAATATACGCTTTGATTCCTTATCAATTCTTTTAACGACGCTACATGTAAAAGTTTTTTTTCCTCATGTTGAGCAGGCGGCCTTTATTTTGAAACAATAAATTTAGCTGCATTTCTGAACAAAGGTATATTTCCAATGGGGAGGAAATTCTTTGGATAGACGTTTTCCAATTTTTATCCTGTTACATTTTGTATAGGTCACAAAAAGCATCAGGATGTCTATCATGAGACCGCTTGGCTTTAGACCTAATTTTTCTTGCTACTGGCGCAGAAGGAAGGGAATCAAAATTGCCGGCTGCTCTTAAAGCTTTGCAAGAGCTTAAAATTTGTTTATCCCTTGAATTTGCATCGAGTTCTTTTCTTAATTCGTTTTTCGCTAAATCCAATTTAACACCGATTTCGAATTTGTGGGTTTTTATAAATATCACGTGGGTGAATAATCTCTTTTTGATTGGAAAATATATTGATTTCGACATCTTTCGAATTTGTATTTTTTTACGATTGCTGGAGTTGAGATGTATGCATTTTGCATATAGTCCCAATTCTGAATGAAACGTATTCGATCTGAAACACGTGTAGTTAATGTAGAAGACGTTTTTTTATCATTTTAAGTTTTTCTCTTACTAAAACCTCAACAAATTTTACAAAATGAGGATTTGTAAAGAAGTCTGCCTTATGTAAAGAATGTTCATCCGTGTGATATTTTTCAAAGGGGGTTAGCGAAAAACCTCCATCTCTCTGAGGAAAACCCTTTACTAAGTTTATTTTAGATAAATCCGTAGCAAAAAGTACCTGGTTGATTGGTATTTGTGGAGAATTAACCTTTTTTCTTAAAACTTCATATTCTATTAGATAATCTAAATTTGGATTTGTTACATTAATTCTTAAATTTGTGGGATTATTTCCTGACCTCTCCCACTTGGACGATATAAATGAGATGTCATGAATATCGGATATATCATTCGCACGATGAAACGACGCATTGCTACTTTCGAGTGTCGAGCTTAACGCTCCTGCTGCCGACTCCAAATTGTTGTCCGGTGTTGAAAACTTAAACATCTTTTTTCTTTTTGCAGAATTCAAGTTCATCGAGAATCCGAAGAAAAATTCTTCTACATTCCTTCATCTTGCATTAATTTGAGTAAAACTCATCGTGCCATGATATCTTCAGTGAAACAACCGAATACTAGTTTTTACGATTTGTTTTTGTTTTTATATTAAGAACTGCAAATTATTTACAATGTCTCCGTAGTGCAGCTCTCGAGTTTGAAGACCAGTTTTAAATGGCTCCACTCCGGAGCCCCCGAGTACAAAGGTTTAACTTAGAAAGTCTGTAAAAATTTCCTCCGGTCTCAGAAAATTTAAATCTCTTGGGCAGGTGTACAATTTCCACAACAGTGGCTTATTTCCAGATAATTTGTTGTAAAAACTCCGCTTTTAAATTATTAGTAACTTCACCAACGTCCTGCAACTTCAAATAAATTAATTTTAAAGTAACATTTTGACTTGAATAACTCAATTTGAACACTATATAAGTTAAATAATTTTATTTTCCTTTGGGTTTATCTTATTAATAAAACGCAAAATTTTTATATTTTTTGATTTAATTTATTTAACAAATTTGTTTCTTAATTTTATTTCGGAACAAGGTGTTTTTAAGTGAATAGTTGGTAAAGAGACTGACTTTCCTTAGCAAATTATAAAAGAGGAAACCTCGGTTTAACCAATTATCCACAGTCAGTGTTTATGTTTATTATAGGGTGAAATAAGATATTGGTAGGAGATGTTTATGGTAGGGTGCCATTGACATTCATATGACATTCGTTGTTTATGAACTTTAGGTTTGTTTATTATATTTGAGAGGGTGGTTCGTAAATTTGTTTTTTTAATTAGGATGGTCCTTAACTTATACACTATTTTCTCAATATTATTGTGACAATCGTATCTATAAATTTACTAATGAAAGACGGTTTTGAGAAACAAGCCTTTGTAAGGAAATGTATTTTAATATCAAAAACTATTTTTTCTTTTATTCAAGACGAGGTTTTCACAAATCTTATTGTTGTATACGAAAATCATGAAACTCATCTGCGATAATATTAGAAAATTTAAAAAATAATTTTTTTTCGCGCCACTAGCTAAACAATGTTTCTAAAAAAACTTCTCTTTTTTTCAAGCAATAAAATGTTACTTAATGGATAAAGCAAAGAGTTTGCATAGCTGCATAATACCTTACAAACAAACATAAACGAATATAAGGTAACAATAGTTACTAATAGTGCTTTACGATACCTACATCTACATCGATATCTACATTGCATGGTGTAATTACCCCCAGCGTGACCGGTTCTTCATCGTCAGAGTCTTTTTCTTCCACTGGGGGCGCTCTGGCTGGCTTGATGACCGTCATTGCCCGAACCGTTATAGGCTCAGGGTTGGGCATGACGATGGTGACGTCGTCTGCTGCGTCGTCGGGTTCATTGGCGCTGAACCGGGCGTGTCCTTCCTCGGCTGCTAGCTCCAGAAGCACTGCCGCTATAGCGGAGCGGGTGTGCTGCGCCTCTGCCGCCGTGCACCAGGC